CGCTTTCCGAACTAGCTGACCAGATCTGGATGCGGGCATGGCTTAGTTGTGAACAGTGAGCAGCCATCCTCTCTTAGAATATCTTCAGTGATATCTAATTCTGCCAGCTCTTCTAAGACATCAAGAGCTTCTGACTTGCGTGTATTCATGGAAACCCATTTACGTCTGAGCCAATCTCCAAGATTCAATAGTGACTTCTTATCCAGATGCTTCACTTGAGTATCCAAGGTATAGAGACGGTTATAGTATCCAGTAACTCTCAGTGATGGGATGAGCAGTTTAATTGAGCTCCAAAAACGCTCACAGCCCTCACCATCTGTAAGTCCAAAGCCTATACACTTTCTTGGGTGATAAATGAGCTGGCAAGCCCATTGATGGCCATAAGCATGAAAAACTGATATAGCCCAGATGAGTCTATCATGAAAGTCTTTCAGAAAGCCCCATTTAATACAACTACGATGAAGCTGACAGCCAATATCATAGAGCACACCCACTCTAGCAGTTGAGGGTAAATGGTTGAACAAACGTTCTAAAAGAACCAGAGCATAGTGTTGCTTCTCTCCTGCAGAAGTCATGTTTACCAGCCATAAGACACGATCATGTCGACAGAGAAGAGCCATGAGTCCAGTATCAGAAAAGAACTGAGTGCTAGCTTTAACTTGTTTTTCATCTGCAGCAGTAAAAGAGTCTCCACACATGTTCAGCACAGAGTTTGGAACTTTGAGTCCAGGCTCACACAAGTCAGGATTTTCATCCTTCTGAGGCTGTAAAGGACTATCTTGTGACTTTTTACCTTTTGAACCAGACTTGGGCTCTGGGCGTATTTCATTGACTATATCCTCCATTGCCTTGACATCTTCTGAAGAGACAAATGCTGTATCTGGGTGCTTCCGAGGGGCAGGTGGTTCTTTACCCTGAGCCTTGCGTGACTTTTGCTTGAAACAAGCATCCAAGCATACAATGAAATCAACCCTTACAAAAAAAAGTTGAGATCACAATAATAGTGTTGGCCAAAAAACTCCACATACAAATCATCAGGCTTTGACCAATCTTTTCCACCAAAGCACAAAGGACACCGCCCTCTCAGATAATCACTTGGTTTTTCCAAGTTTGGTGCAGCAGTGTGCATATCCTCATCTAAACATTTGCTCCAGTACATTCCTTTCACTGGACAAAAAACCACATACCAATTTCAATATTATCTTCTAAAAAATGTGAAAAGAGTTAGACATGAAACATTTTCTAAGCCCAAAGGAAAAAAAAAACACCTTGATCAATATTATCTGTGTTACATGAAAAAAGGATTAGCATAAGAACTTTTCACTTGAAAGAAAAATAAATACCATCAGCCATTTCAACATTTTCATCTGCAAAAAAAGTTTTATTGTAAATTGAAAGATTTCTTCTCTCAAATGCAACAAATCAAACCTTGTTCCATTCCAACATTCTTATCTGTTCAAAAAAAGTTAGAATTACACAAATCTTTCTGATTAAAAAAAAAAAACCTTGGTCCATTTCTTCATCTGTGAAAAAATGTTTGAGTTGCAGCAGAAATATATCTTGACTGAGCCAGAAAAAAAAGAAATACCTTGCTCAATATCATAGTCTTCTGTTTGAAAAGTTTTTAGTTCCAAGAAACATTGTCATAGGCAAGAAATACCTGAAACTTTGATTGAACTTCTCATATCATCCAGATAATTGTTCACAAGAAGGTTCTTCTTATCAATCAAAGTCGCATACCACTGCATAGCACTTCCAAAACAACAACACAAACTATTCTAAAGTAAAAGAACTTTTGAGCAAGAAAAAAACATTGACAGAAAACAAATAAAACATACCCGAGTTGTTAACTTGTATCTTCTGTTTCCAAGAAAGGTCTCCAAGGTTTCACACCAAGCCGTAGTATTTGGAGCTGCATTTACAAACTGCTCATTTACAAACTCGAGCATATTCAACTTGTGTAAGAGGGCCATTGCATGCATGGCAGATACGAGTCCTTTTTATATTCAGGAAGCCACAATGCAGCACCACAGCATTCACATTTTTGATTATTTAGGAAACTGGTCATGTGACCACCTCCTGAAGGCCCATCAGATCTATACCCATTATATATATATATATATATATATATTATTGCTATTTTTTATTGGACAAATTGTATATTTCCATGTATATAAAATACTGGACCTTACAGAGAGTCCCTACCTTGAAAGTGACAATAAGTACTATGCTCCATTTTTCACTAGATTTTTCCAGTCCTTTATAGATAGCTATTTTTCACTAGATTATTATGTATGGAATTTTCTTCTGGACCCTGAACATGCTCCCCAGTATTGCACAAACAGTGAGCATCTTCCTTCAATTTCTTTCTGATTTTTCTACTATTATATTGCCATTTTTTGATTCAAAAAGTGCACATTACCTCAGTTGAAAATATGCCATGTACTCTGAAAATGGTCCCCAACATTGTCATCAACAATGCATATTGTCCCCCATTTGTTCCTGATTTGTCTTCTGTTTTTATCGCTATTTTTCCTTTCAACAAATGTTTGACAACATCATCAAACCATCAAATCTTATGGGAAGAAAGGCAAGATTCAGTGTTAGAAGTACTGAAAAAATCCTTGAGATCAGAGAGTAACAAACTAGTGTCTTTATAAACTCAGAGGACTCATAACATCATTGCTAACAATGAGCACCATATTCCAACTTTCTCTGATTTTTGTGTTATTTTCTGGCAATTGTTGAATAAATTTCCATATAAGGAA